ATTTCTTTTTTAGGCAATTTACAAACACATGTATTTTATACAATAGTTAGGAAGCATTCTTTTTGACCAGGTTTTCAACCAATGCCCCGAAGTCAACGGGCGAGCAGGCGAGCAGGCGTGTTTCTGCTCAACAACTTGAGTTTGCTAATGACACCAAACTTGGTGTGTGGACAGCTAATGTCAAGAGGGAGCTTGTAAGCGCTACCCAGGTGTCTGTGATTAAGGTAAAAAAAGGAAGAAATTTAGTTACCGCTCAGTAGAACTTGAGTATGCTATGGCATTTTGACACCAAACTTGGTGTATGTGTAGGTTATATCACGAGACAGCTTGAGCTGGCTACCCATGTGTCTGTGGTCCTGTACCACTCAAGCCGGTGCTAGGGGGCGTGAGGGATGTTGCACTTATTCATTATCCCTCATGTACAGACTCAATCAAACCGAGGGATCACTTTGTTTCCAGATTTTTTTGAGTTTGCTTAGGCCTATTGACACTAAACTAGGTGTAAGAGTAGCTGATATCATGAGGCAAATTGGAATTCCTACCAATTTGTCTGTGATCAAAGTCAATGTGACTGTTGCTAAAAATAGATATTCAGTTTCCGCTCAAAACTTCAGTTTTCTTTGGCCTATTGTTGCCAAACTTTGTATCTGTGTAGCTTATATCAAGAGGCAGCTTGTCATTGCTACCCAGATGTGTTTGATCAAGACAAAAGTCACTGTTTCTAAAATTACAAATTAAGTTTCCGCTCATTAACTTCAGTATGCTTTGACCTATTGACACAAAACTAAGTATGTGGGTAGCTTATATCAAGACACTACTCGGGAATACTACCCAGGTGACTGTGATTAAGGTCAAGGTCACTGTTGCTAAAAATAGAAATTCAGTTTCCAAATAATTGAGTTAGCTGTGACCTATTGACAGCAAATTTGGTCTGGGTAGCTAATATAAAGACGCAACTCGGGATTGCTACCCAGATGGCTGTGATCAAGTTCAATGACATTGTTTGGGATTGCTACGTGAATATCTGGGTGCAAGGTCAAGGTCTCTTGTTTAAATAGAATTTTCAGCTTCTACTCAATAGCTTCAGTACACTTTCACCTATTGACCTGGCATGGGTGTAGCTTACATGAAAATACAACCTGGCATTGATACTCAGATATCTGGTATATTTTTATTTTGGACTACTGAAACCAACTTTCTGTGTTTGTACAAATAAAAGCATTTCTTTTCTCTTCACTGCCATATTTCATAATAAATTCCTGTCATATCAATACTCGGTGATTGAAATCCCGGTTTTCGTCGCATTGCGGCGCAATTTGTTTACAATTCAAACATTTTCTTGCGGCAGACATATAGCTGATTACACTCAAAAGGGAAGATTGGTTTAGATTAAATCATCCCTGGTATTTGCATTTTACAAAAGCCTTTAACACGGTGCATATCCATATCGGTACCCTCTTTGCGAAATCTGCTGAAACGGTACCCTCTCTGAACATGCACAGGTCATTCTCTGCTAAAAACAAACCAGCGATGGATACCAATCCAGTAAAATTTCATTGTAATAAGAAAAGGAGGTATGTCACGTAGAAAAGATGTATACCACGGAACACTAGGATGTTTTATCTATGTGCTGATTTGTCATGTGCCCGATTTTCATATACTGCAACTTCACAATAAGCTTCAAAAATCGACATGTCCTGCTTCGCCCATCACCTCGACATATTTTTTCGGACTGAAATGAACCTATGGCTTGATTATATATGCATCATACATATTTAATATGTTCATATTCATATCATCTTCGGACAAATGGCAGTATATTGTCAAAAATAAATGTAAAATTCATAAAAACACCATACTTTCGGTTTTGCAGCGGCACGGGCTACCTCTCTTCATTTGAATTTTTATATCACAGGTACCCTCTCAGTATTGAACACATAGGAACCCTCAAAGCACGACATATACTTTTATTTGCGTTATTCGTTAAGTGTGTATGTAATACTTTTTACTTTTATGTAAATATTACATACTTAACGATTAACGAAAATAAAAGCATATGTCGTGCTTTGAGGGTACCCATGTGTTAAAAAATGAGAGGGTACCTGTGATATAAAAATTCAAATGAAGAGAGGTAGCCCGTGCCGCTGCAAAACCGAAAGTATGGTGTTTTTATGAATTATACATTTATTTTTGACAATGTACTGACATTTGTCCGAAGATGATATGTATATGAACATATTAAGTATGTATGATGCATATATAATCAAGCCATAGGTTCATTTCAGCCCGAAAAATATGTCGAGGTGATGGGCGAAGCAAGACATGTCGATTTTTTGTAGCTTATTGTTAAGTTGCAGTACATGAAAATCGGGCACATGACAAATCAGCACATAAATAAAACATCCTAGTGTTCCGTGGTATACATCTTTTCTACGTGACATACCTCCTTTCCTTATTACAATGAAATTTTACTGGATTGGTATCCATCGCTGGTTTGTTTTTAGCAGAGAATGACCTGTGCATGTTCAGAGAGGGTACCGTTTCAGCAGATTTCGCAAAGAGGGTACCGATATGGATATGCACCGTGTTTAAGTCACATTTTGCCTCAGATATCAATATTTTTGTAATTCTTTAGAGATGCCAAACATATGGTGGCATATTTCTGCCACCAGATAACCTGATAACTTACTAGTTAATTAAGAGGTTAACTAGTTACGTAACTAGTTAACCTGATACCTAACTAGTTAATTAAGAGATTTACTAGTTACGTAACTAGTTAACCTGATAACTAACTAGTTAATTAAGAGGTTAACTAGTTACGTAACTAGTTAACCTGATAACTATCTAGTTAATTAAGAGATTAATTAGTTACGTAACTAGTTAACCTGATAACTAACTAGTTAATTAAGAGGTTAACTAGTTACGTAACTAGTTAACCTCTTAATTACCTAGTTAGTTATATGGTTATCTGGTGGCAGAAATATGCCACCATACAAACATGTGTTTTATAATGTTTAAATAATGGATTTAGAGCATATAGAGCAAGTTATATATTCAACAACAGAATAAAAGCTCTGAATATGTAAAGGTAGCGAATTGTAAACATAGTAGTATTTTGATTTCCATACAAAATACTTATTCACTTAATACATGTATACCATTTGCAAACAGGGCAAATTAGCAAAAGATAGTTTATGTATATGACAAAAAAGTATTTTTTTTGAAACTGTGAAAAGATACCAATCATAGAAGGATTTTGAAAAATAGAATTAAAACCATTTGTAAGACATAATGGACCTTAATGAAAGTTTATATTTGAACATACATTTGTACATTTTGAGATATTCGTGTTATAGTTAAACTTGTTTATGAGGGGGCATTTGTTTTTACAGACTTCTTAACAGGCATATGTAGATTGGTATATTAGAAAGAGCTTTTAATTATGAAATAAAAACAATCTTACTCAATGGTGCAATTACCTGACATTTTATCTTATGACATTATTGAGACAGAGATTATGTCAATTTATACATGATATTTTTGTACTATTCATACAGAATTTGATGCATTAATTATTTAAAGCCCCATACTTCTCGAAAGCATATTATGTTCTGTGTCCTATTATGATAGTTTCCAAAAACATACTCATTGGCAATTTAGTTGATTTAATTAAATTTTGCTTCTGATGTGTTTTTGCATGAATACAAATATAGTGAATCAGTATTTTCGTTTTGTACGAAATTCAAAATACTTCTTTGTTCATATTTTACTACTTCTATTTAACATTCAATATCTTTTTCTCAGGTGATAAACATCTAGCATGCTCTAAAACAGTTGATTAAATGTTAAAAGAAAACATATTTGCCCTTTCTAATGAAGGCATTTATTTTCTAAGCATAACGTGCCTTTAAAAGTGCTCAGTGGCGTTTTATTTCAGGTACAGACAACCGAAATGGATCTCCTGCCAAGAAAGGGACAAGGGAAGAGTAAGAGATGACATACCAAACAGCTTGTGCGATTTTATTATGTTTAAGTCCTAATATTTTTTTTTTTACATTTAAACTTAGACTTTTTGTTTCCCCTTTAATTCAATGCAAAACTCAGGCACTACTCAGGTTTGTGTTAGAAATTGGTTCTCAAGGCAATAACATTGAAAAATACATTATCTTTCACTGTATGAGTGCATTAGTATTTAAATGCTAAAGACTATTCGGAGAATAGTCGAGCTATCCTACTTAACTGTGTTACAGGGTCTGTGTTGGCGTAACATTGGGGCTAAAGTTTTAGGTGCAATTTCTTTTATGTCATACCTTAAGGACGTTTTTAGGAGTTTTCATTTAGACATATAGGAAAAATTAAACTGTTCAATAGTTTTTCTTCTTCTGACAACATTCAAAGTTTAAAGGAATTCTATTGAGCAGTTCTTATTTTGCATATATGGCCGAAAACGTCCTAAACAGCACTAAATATTTGCTTGAATATTCAAAATTCTATAGCGATATCCAAAACTCATAAGTATGTCATCTGCATGAATTTATTTGACTAAGATATGCATGCTTATTCCTTCATTAACGACGTTCTGTTATGATACTAACCTACTGACAGCTCTTGTTCAGTGATGTAAGTACTTTGTTGTGTATTTCATATTTTGAAGATTGGGATATGCATATTTATCGAAATAAGTATGATCTGATATTGAAAAGAAACCTTTTTTGTGAGTATCATGGTATAGATCTGTCCACTAGTAGGGGGAAAATTTTGTAAGCTACTGGAAAGCTCTTCTGGATGAGTTACATAACCGTATTCTAAAAGTCCTTGGTTTGAATCTTAGCCATGTTGCATATTTTTATCCCCGCCGACTGAATCGGGATATTACTTCGACGTTGTCCTTCCGTCCGTCCGTCCGTGCGTCCATCCAATAATAATTTCAAACTCATAGGAGAGCGCATAACTAAATAACAAATAAACACCACACACACAAATAAAAAAACAAACAAACATTGTTGTTAAGAGAATTATTTTTTTCGAAAAGAAGAAAAATTCACAGTAAATTTAATCAGCAACAAACATACGATATAAACTAGAAATGTGTCCATAGGACACGGATGCCCCCACACGCCATTATTCTGTCAATCTTATGACTCTAGGTCAAATATTTTTTGGACTACATGTGCCACAAGTTGAAAACTAAAAATCAACAAAGGGCCACAATTCTGTAAAATTTGGTCGCAGCAAAAATTCCTTCCTTTACTACCATCTACACATTAAGGTTGTTCATCCCTGGAAGTTTAAGCAAAATCTGCCATCCGGTTTAAGAGGAGTTGCGTTCACAAAATTTCTACATAGTATATAGTGAAAAAATCAACAAAGGGCCATAATTCTGTTAAATTTGGTCGCAGCAAAAATTCCTTTCTTTACTGCCATCTACACATTAAGGTTGTTCATCCCTGGAAGTTTAAGCAAAATCTGCTATCCGGTTTAAGAGGAGTTGCGTTCACAAAATTTCTACATAGTATATAGTGAAAAAATCAACAAAGGGCCATAATTCTGTTAAATTTGGTCGCAGCAAAAATTCCTTCCTTTACTGCCATCTACACATTAAGGTTGTTCATCCCTGGAAGTTTAAGCAAAATCTGCTATCCGGTTTAAGAGGAGTTGCGTTCACAAAATTTCTACATAGTATATAGTGAAAAAAATCAACAAAGGGCCATAATTCTGTTAAATTTGGTCGCAGCAAAAATTCCTTTCTTTACTGCCATCTACACATTAAGGTTGTTTATCCCTGGAAGTTTAAGCAAAATCTGCCATCCGTTTTAAGAGGAGTTGCGTTCACAAGATTTCGGGACAGACGGACAGACAAACGGACGGACACTCGGACGGACAAGTGCAACGCTATATGCTCCCACTCTGTGGGGGCATAAAGATCCAGAATGATAAATACAGGTGTTAGATCTATACTTATATACATAGAGCATACTGAACAAAAATACTCCTCACAGTTTTGGTCAAAATTGCCCTCAAACTTATATGCAAACGATCTTTCCTTATTTTAAATATTGTGTATAAACAAGTTTGTATGACTCGATAAGAAAATTCGTTTATCTTGTATTTTTCTGAACTCAATATCTTGAATATAATCTTTCAAGATCAATTAAAAAAGATAAAAATTGTAAGAAGGCAAAGCTTTAGAGTTATCTATGATGGTTGTATTTACAGTAACTAGGAAGTTTGTTCAGATGATATAAATTAGTAGCTTTACGATAAAACTGTCCATGATTTAAAAATAGAAAATAGGTATTAACAAAATAGTTCAGACTTGATTAAAATAATTAAAATGATTGCATAATTTAAAGGAGATACATTACGTAAAATATATAGAACATTGTCAGAGAATGTTAACGTTTTAAGGTGATGTTGGCTTTCCTGTACTTTTAATTGTGCTATCTGACCAGATAGCAATACGCTATTATATGTATTTCAATGATAAAACAACAAATGCAATAATAAAGCTAATGAATATAAAAATGAAAAATGTATAATATAAATTAAATGTCATTTTTAGAAACAATATATGAATGGTATTAATGTAACACTCGAGAGTAATAAAGTAAATTTCGTCATAACGATAATCTAAATCATGTTTTTGCGTAAATTTACAAGCCTTCTATATACACTTTAAAAAAATCAAACTTAAGTCATCTGTCCCTGCAACATAGATCTAGTCGACACTTTGATCCATCTGTAAAATAGAACGTTTTTTAAATAATTATATTAACCAAAAAGCAAGTGAAAATTAAAACCGTTAACGCGAAATACAATCTTGTTTCTGTAACAGAGAGTCGTGTGAAGAAAGAAGCTTGCGGAACGTCGAACGGCGACGTAATAAGCGTGTTAAACGTTTAACAGACCGTACTTATAAAACCCTAAGATTTTCAACATTAACTTTGTTTTTTTATGACAAGATATGCCATTTTGTTCATATTTTGTTGTACTCAAAATGATTACAATACATATCTGAATATGGAGTAACTATTTTCTGCTAGAATTGTACCGTATTCGATCAGATCAGAAAAAAATGTTGAATACAATTAAAATAGAAACAATTGTCATATTTTGTCATAAAAAACTAAGGTAATATTAAGAATAAATTTAAAACATTCAGGCCATAGTCAAATATTAATCTCGGTCACCGGTTATTGAATTTTCTAACCGTTTTTTAGCTACAAACCGACCGTACCCATTTAACCGATAAACGTGACACCCCTACTTTTTGTGCGACGAAAAAACTTAAACCACACACAAAAAAAAAATAATAAAAAAAAAATAAATAAATAAATAAATAAAGAAAGAAAAAGAAAAGAAAAAAAAGTTATAATAATAATGAAATTCAAATCAAAGGCAGTTAATGAAAGAATGCCACCATTTTGGCAAACAAATTACGTAATAAGAAAATTTACGAAATATATTTAATAAATACTACGTCTAGTCGCTTTTTGATAGCAATAAAAGTACATACGTGCGTTATCTGTGTAAATTTCAACTAATTGTAAAAGACATCTACGGCTCAGCACGACCACCAGTTGCCTTTAACAAAAAGTACATCAAATACAATTTTTGTCTGTCTACATAAGATGTGGGGACAACAGCAATTCAATTCAATTATTCAAAAAAGAAATATTGTATTGTATTGTATTGTTAACTATTACTATTAATTTGCACGAGTCATAAGTCCATTAGCCCAATAAGTTTTCACCTAGCTTTCCTTTAATATGCTAAGATGTACACTTGGTAATGAAGTTAAGATTTTTCTGTTGCTCGTTTACTTAAAGCTTTATCTAAAAGAATATTAATATAAAATGGATGCATGGTAAAACTATGTGGTTTCCATATCCATATGGTAAATTCTCTAAAGAATTTTTAATATTATGTCTCTTATATTCAACATGAAAAATGCAAACAGATAAAAATGTTCAGGAACAAGATATAAAGCTGCTACTTTGTATACGTTGTAAAATACCAACCTGCTTTAATTAAAACAGATTTTAGAATCTATTCTTTTACAAATTCAAACAAAAATTGTGTAATCTGCTGGTAACGAATATATAGCTTGATACACTCTAAAGTGTGTCAGAAATGGTTTTCAATCAAGATAAAGCATGGAATCTTAATTTCATCATCATTATTATTATTATTTTGATTGGCGATATCAATCATAAGTAAACCTGTTATGAATGCATACATACGCTTTGTACAGAAGCAGTGACTGGGGCCTTTTTTGGCACATTCCTTTGGCCTAAGTAGGGAAGTGCAACATTTTCTTCTATCCAAGAAAAAAAAGCAAACAGAAATATGTTATGTATTGAATTACTATCATTTCATTTCATACAAATTAACTATTTACCGCAAAGTCGACTTTGATAGAATATCCATCGTACAATATTGATATTACGCAATTAACTTAATTACATTTGAGTACTCACAAGTTTTGCAAAATATAGTTTTAAAATTGAAAATTATCAAGCCAAATGAAACCTTGTGTAACATAAACAATCGTGAAAATGCATTTTAATCAAATAAATGCTGGTAGAAAAGCAATTAAAGTGTAGGTCGGATAGATGTGCAAACAGTTTCCATTAATATGGTAATAAAATGTATAAATATTATTTCACTTACCTGATTTATGTGAGGATTTTCTTCCGTTAGGCATGTTTGGTGTCCTGCAATTGTACTTTTAAATTTGAAATGCTTACATAAGCTTAGTAGACAATTTACCAAAATAAAATGCGATTCTACATTTTCCACTATCGAAACGATAAAAATATACAAATATACGACAATTAAGCTCTGTTTGTTTGATTGCTTTTGTTTTTGTGTGTATTTACGCATATTATTGTACATTTCCGGTCATTTCCCCGAAACTGGCTCATCTGGATAACTTACCAGTAAGCATTTTCTCCTCGAGTGGTGGACTGCTAATCTTATCAGCGTTAGGAAATAATTGACAATTTTCGAAATCAATTGTCACCTCACCCAAAGTTCAAGCCAGCGACCACTTGACTACTGATACAAACATTCAACAGCGGAGTTTATTAAATTATGAAAGATAATATGACATATAAAAGTTTTAAACAATTTCTTTTATATTTAATGTTTATGTAAAAATAATGACATGTGAAGTGATGCTTTTGCATGCAAAATCAATCAATTAATTGGGTCTAGCGATTTTTGGACAAGAGAAAATGTTTGGTAAAAGAAAATGTTTACAGGCGTTGTACTCACGAAGACTCAGACTGACTTCTGGTCCCATTAAATTGACCTACCATTTTTTATGGTTTCTTTTCTTCAAAGCACAAACTACCAACAAAACCACTGTCACTAAGAAAACAACAACTCCCAAGACAACTCCAACAATGATAAGATCACTCTCCTCTGCAATAAGCATTACGAAATATTATATGAGATTAATCAATAGAAACCATCTTTAAAATTCTTTAAAATCCGCCTTAACATTATCTGATCAAAACTCAAGGAAGATCTATTTGAACTCAAACATAATTGAGTATTAAAAGAAACTTAAATAATTAATATTTCGTTGTCAGATAATGTCAACATTTAATTACAATTTTACTGACAAATTTCGTAATTCGTGTCATTCTACATGTAAAATACAAAAAAAAAATATACATAGAGAAAACTTGAAACGGTATTACCTTCGACGTTTTCTATGTTGTTTTTTGTTTTCCTAAAATATAAAAGTGAAACATAAAATAAAATATTTCTATAATTATAAGTGTAAAACATAACATTAATGGCACACAAATGATACCTAAATTCATTGTACTTAAAGACAAATTTGTTATAAAATATTGACACACTTTTACTTCGATCATTACAAACTGTGCTCATACCGACAAATTGGGTTGTTGCCAAAAACTTGACAAACTGTGTTATTATCACAGGGTCCTGCTAGAAGTTCCCGTAGTTCACATGGACCAGCACTTGCTGGAAATACTGAAAAAAATATATGTGATAAATATATAATATAGATGATATATGAAGGTCAGTACAATTTAACTGAAGTGTGTACGGTCAAAAGTGCAATACATTACGATAAAACAGTATGTATATAGAATATGTTTAGATAGGGATTGGTTTGAAAGTTGAAGTTAAATAAATGGATCAATAACTTAAGAAAGGCAGTTCTCTTTTTTACTTTGGCATAATTGTAAATCACGCGTTTAAAGATTGGTTTGAGTAAAAAAATGTATATTATTAACAAACATTGATTTGATTGTTTAAACACAGTTATTAATGATATGACAAAAATACTTCTTTTTACATGAACAGTTTCCGTTTGTTTTGTCAAAAGTTAAATTAGTAAATACTAAAAGAGAAACACGAGTTTTGTCATGAGCCGGGCTGACTGAATAAATAAAAAGTACTTTGCTTAAATTTCAATAATTAAAGGATAAGCTAATATTATAGAAACTACTTGGTTTCACAGGAACAGGTTTTCCATCAATGACCAGGATTCCATCTTCGTCTAAATCTATAATCGCCTGAACAACTGCATCAACTACCATAGTCTGATTTTTCTTTTCTTCAATAACCATTGTGTAATCTACAATTATACTTCCGGCTCTGAAAGTAAAAAATGATAAATGCCTTCATCCAAGCAGAATCATTTGTATTTATCAATTTACATACAAAGAATATTGATAACGTTATATTTTAGAGACAAGTTAAGTACGTTTCAGCCGAAGCGTATTTTCGTAAGAAAAATAAATAGCTAAAGTGACTAGAACGAACTTAATGATTCCGGTTTGGCAGTGCATCTGACTGCCTTTGAATGCATGTTTGTTTTTAAATGCATTTATGCAGTTAATGTTTACAATTTTGCTTAAGCTATGTCTCCTTATGATATCTTATAATGAGGATTTATGCCATTTTTTTCTTCAACCAAAAACTAAATATATTGTTTAACAACTTAGTATCAACGTTATCATTCAGTGAGACAAAAAATTTATTTGTACGTATTAAGACAGTATGATATTATCAGATTTTGTGAGCCGGAAGAACAAAATGTAGAATGGAATATGTACCGATTGCAGCACTATTAAGTGTTGAGAATTGAGTACCGCTCAAGCCGGTGCTAGGGGGCGTGAGAGATGTTGCACTTATTCATTATCCCTCATGCACAGACTCAATCAAACCGAGTCTGCAATTTTTATGTAATTTTGTTGTGATTAATGCTCCCGAGGGATCACTTTGTTTCCAGATTTTTGTATACTCGAAAAATAATAAAATAATCTAATGATTACAGTATTCGATGATACAGTAGTAATAAACTTTAAATGTTAAACATGTTTCCTTTCATCTATTGTACAAATGATGTTATGGTTGACATTTTACCAGAATATAGTTCACATTAAAATGATACAATATAGCACACTAAAGATAAATTTTGAATGTTGATGTTTCCCCAAATAAAAGATTTATTGATTTCTTTATATACATGTGTATTTTCTTTCTTTATTTCTTTTGTCTGTCTGTCTGTCTGTCTGTCTGTCAATATGTCTGTCTGAGTGTCTCGTTTTCTTTCTTTCATTCTTGTCTAATAATTTATGTTCTTTTTTATTTATTTAATTTTTTTATTTATTTATCTATTTATTTATATATTTATTTATTTATGTCAACATCTAGATATGTATTAATTTCCTCATGAAGATAAAAATAAATATATTTTACTAACCTTATAGTGTGGTCAGAAACGAAAACTACAGCTTTTGATGTTGCTCTGAAGTAACTCTGCAACTGCAAAACGTTAATTTTTTATATAATCTATTGCATAAAAAAAATATTTAAATACATTATAAGATTTTGTCTGTGGGGACAATGTGCCGCATTTCATGGAATGGCAATATTTTGTCACATTGAAGGTACTATGATAACCGTCATATGAACACATCTGCGGATGTTCCAAAAATCTAAATTATACAAGTTCATGTTAAACGTTTAATCTGCTTAAGCCGGTGCCAGGGGGCGTGGACGATAGTTTGCAATAATCTCTACCGTCAATGAACAGGCTCAATCAAACCGAGCCCGCAACAGTTTTAGTTTTGCAGTGTTGGGCTTTCTTTAGGGATTCTGTTTTTCTCTAGTGCATTTCTTTTTTCTTACATTTATTGACAAGTATATCAAATTTATATACTATTTTTGTGATCTACATCAAGTGTTCAACAATACGCATACATACACAATAGATGTTTTTGTTTATTGCAATCAAATCTGTATGAAACCTTATTTAAAAATATGATAGAAAAAGCGATGATATATAATTACTGCATTCATGATTTCTGTATACAAGGTATAGTTTCTTAAAGCTGTGTCACTGTCTATAGATAGACGTATAGTTGATGATACCGCTGTACCAGAAACATCTGTAAAGGAACGATACATGTATTAAATCAATGTTGTGCAGCAAATTTCAACTCGATTGTATACTTAAAGGTGTAATAGAAAGATTAATTTCGCCTCATAATATTGCCTCATAAATTGAAATGTATTGTTACTTCAAGTATAAAGATCGGATCAATCCATTTCATTACTGGAAGGCATGGTATTTTATAAGCCTTATTGCCATTATTTATTCACATAATTGAAATCATCTGTTTTGTCTTACAAAATTGACCAGTGACCTCTTTTAAGACAATACACTGTATTTAGATTGCGACACCTCAAAAAAGTCAATCAATAAACATGATACTTTTTCATTTGATTTGAAATGTAAAATATTTCTTGAAAACATTTGTTCATACCTTTACATGTTAAGCCGTCTTCATTCAGAAATCGTTTCTGTTGGCAATTACAAATGTACGTTCCATCAAAGTTGATGCATGTTTCTTCACATTGACCATTATTCTCTTCACATTCGTTTCTATCAAGACAAGAGAGAGAATCCATGTCGATTTGGTACCCTTCATTACACAAGCATTTAAAAGATCCGTCTTGATTTTCGCATTTTTGGTTACAACCGCCATTGTTATCAAGACATTCATCGATGTCTACGCACGATGTTCTGTTTGCATGTAGGAAATATCCATGCCCGCATGAGCAACTGAACGAGCCATTTGTGTTGATGCAAATTTGGCCGCAACCACCGTTATTGGATAAGCACTCGTCAACATCGTCACATGTTATGTTATTTTCGCTTAAACTATATCCGTCTTTACAAGAACAAGCGAATGAACCTACCTGCTTACAGATATGATCACAAACAAAGACGTTCGTTCCTGTATTGCACTCATCGGTCTCTGTTTTAATGTGATAACAAATGAAAAGAATGTATTAAGAATTAAAAATATGTGTTCCATTATCATCTACTCATATACATAACTTCCGCAATGTATCGACAAATGTTTAATTTACTTATAAAGGATTGTTTTAATTTCATAAAACCGGAATTTATTTTCTCAATATTTATCGAACAAAAACTTAATAACTTACAAAGTCTTGAAATTGATCAAGTAGGAACCGCTATTACGAACGCCTAGCGTGTGTGTTTACACGCTAGTCAATTACAACCATTGAAATTTCCCATTAAAATTTGAAATACATTGTACATGTATTACCTTAAGATGATAGGGAAAGGAAGTGTTTGCATTAACTGTTATACAATTATTTAAAATTTTAGGATTTGATATTTGTAAACATAACGCAACATGCATTTACCTTGTAGCACGACACTTATATAAGCATCAGAAGAGGTGATATTTGTCACTATATTCCCAGCAATGCAATTGTACTTGTCGTAAGAATCATTTTGGGTAACGTTTAAAACGGCCAGCACATTGGAACGTTCTTCTGGGATAATTGTTTCATTCCTTAACCAAAAGAAGATAGGTTCTGGATCACCTGTAGCATTGCAGAGAAATGTAACATCGCTGCCGTGTAAGACAGTCTTGTTGTGAAGCTGTTTAACAAACGTAGGAGCCTCTGAACAAAATAAATTCATACTGACAAGTCTGTTAATGTTAAAGAGAACATACTCAAATGCAGATGCTGTATCGATTATAGAGGAAGATTCGTTCTGAAATGTTTGAATCAGTAAACTTTCAAGATCAAGAATTGTTTTTTGAATGTCAGATATGTTTGGAATTGTCTCTGATTCATAAAGAACGTACAAGTTTGAAATAGCGTAAAATATACAATCCTGAAAGTCTACGCATTCGGACTCATTGAAATAATCCCTTGTATTATTTTTCATCGACGTAAACCAAGAATTTTGATAATTAATTGCCTCAACAGATTTAATTTCATCATCCACGTTTTTACTTAAAACACTTGCCGCCGACTGTATTTCAAAAAGCAATGGATCTTCAGCAACTGCCGTTGTTGTATCATTAATTGCTTTGTCAATGTCATTCTCTGTCATATTATAATCCATAGTAGCATATTGTCTACTTATCCCGAGGCTGTCAGTTGTCATATTTTGAGATGATACATTTATAGTGCTAAACTCTTGTAGCTGCCTCTTTACATTGTCAATTTCTCCAAAGTAAGCTTTCGAATCATTTACAACTTCTTGCAAGAAATAAAATGAATCAATCATAAAATTTTGTATCATTGTTATTGATAAACATTTTTCTCTATATAATGCTACTCTACTCTCAGAATCACTGTCTTCTGATCCACGAAAGCCACTTATATTGTTACTCAAATCAATAGTTTCATTTAGGTTATGTAAAGTGTTGTCAACATCATCTGATTCTCGAATTTTACGAAACAACACATGCATCCTTGATGAGGCATCGAACTCTATATTTCTACGTTTACGACCAGAAAATATTCCGCCAAATTTATCAATAAGAGCTTTGATTGTTGCCAGTGCTGCCTGCCAAATACTCTGAAGTATATTTTTAAAATTTATCTTTAATTTAATTTCGGTCCAGCCTATCTTAAAAGCATTTACTTCACATGAAACTTCAAATACAGGAAGATCTTTCGTTGACATTTTGATATCAAATCCACAGTTTTTAACATCTATAATACCTTTCAAGCCATTTTCTATTACAAACTGAAGAACATCAGCCGAGGCGCCGATAACAATTTTTACTGCTTCTAAAGCAATTTTTGCTGCCTCCAAAACGACTTTTGCTACATCCAGGCCAATTTTTGCTAATTCTAAAAGTCCTTCTGCCACAAACAAAACAGCACGAGATTTATCTACTACGAACTGGGAAAATGAAACAGCTGCTACAGCAACATCATATGCAAGCATCACAGCCTTAACAGCTATCTTTGCAAGTTCTAGTGCAGTATAAGCTGCAAATCGAAATATTCGGCATGCTATATTTGCAAATTCGCACAAGATATCTGGAAAACTGATCATACAACTTGTGAGTTTGCAGCACGGTAAATGTATCTTTCCAAACCAAGTTTTCTTAACACAAGTTCCACATTTAATTCCAGGTATGCAAATTGGTTTGCATGTCCTTATTTTACACAGATTATCGATGTCTCGCTGTGTTTTTTCCAATTGTTTTAATGCTTCATGCATGGGCCCTTTCGCGTCTTCAAGTTTTTGCTTTGTTTGTTCAAGTTTATCAACTGCATTGTCGAAAACAACGTTTGCAGCTATGACGTCTTTTTGTTTTTTGTCTAACCAATCTTGTGCTTTAGTGAAACCATTTTGTGCTGATATTAGCGCGTTTTGCACTTGAGATAACCGTTTTTCAGCTTCATCCGATATCATCCGGATGACTGTTTGCAAAGCATCTAAGTAACTGCTTTGAAAAGAAGAACTTTCCGTATGTACCTGTCGACGATGTCTATAAGGAAACTGATAGCGGTTTTGTAGTAATGATGTTTCCGTGATATAATCACGGCGTTTCCTTGCTTTTGCAACAAATCTTCCACGAAGATGAAAAGTCAGTTCATCCCAATTTTTACCAACCTCCGCTTCAACGTCAATTTGAGCCAAGAATATGTCCCAGATGTTTCCTTCTAAATAAAAATATATACCATTATTGCTTATAAAAATATCTTCAGTTACCTTAATGCCTAGCAACTGTATATGTACCTGGTATTGCAAGAGAACATTAAAGGAAGTTGTCGAAAATGCAATACCTAAACCTTCTCCTTCCTTAGATTTCAGAAATTTCCCTAATCTGATTCCTTCTGATACCCTTACGAGCATCCGAATAGCATTTTCTCCACTGAGTAAGTTCTTAACGGCTTCAAATCGGCTACATCTAAAAAGGTCTCCCTTTGAATACATCATTTCAATGTCTAAACCGGCGAATTCTAAACCCCAAAATGTCCAGTCTGAAGAGAACTTCAGTCCAAAACCCGTGTAGTTTCCAATAGACGATGCAATAGTATCAGTTATATTATCCATTACATTCCTGATACTATCCTCTATCATTTTGATTTGATCTTCTAGTAGTTTTATAAAATGATCTTTCGCTGCATTTATGACGAATTCAGTTTCATCTTTTAAAACAATAAGTGCTGACCTTAAATGTTCTAGATTTTTGCGGATATTATCAATGTTGTGGATTAGCTCTTTAAAGTCTTCAGTAAACAAATCATTTAAATGTAATTGTATATTTGCCTTAATTATATTCAAAGTATATTTCATTTTTACAACAACTGTTTCAATTGTATTTGAAACAGAGAGTTCGGTAATAATCAGTCCTTCATTAAGCACCGCTGTGATATTGTTTAGAACATTGTCAAGCTCGAGTATATAGCTTGCTATATTAAACTGTATTCCCTCTAAATGATTATCTTTTGGATCTGTGTTCATAAACAAATGTACACGATTTACTGATGAAAACACAAAGTCTTCAAGAAAAGGTATTCCTTTAAATGGGTTCAATTCAACCATTACTGAAAGGAACAGTCCTTCTGGGTTTGAAACATCACCACACCATTGGCGGCTTGAACCTTAGAAAAAGAGATATTTATGATACACACTATAGTAATGAGCATGCTTAATCAGACGAGTTCTACAGAGAGGAATGCACTCAATATTTTACTTTATAAAGATAATTCATTTATATGTTTACATCTGTTCAACTGTAGATACCTCGCTTATATGATTAAGTCTGTTTAATCATATAAACACAATTAAGATGATAAATTATATAGAAATTTTTACGTAAAACAGAAGGCCCTACGCGAAACAAAATAAATGATGGTCAATTCGTGTTGAAGTTTTTACAATTCGTGTTGAAGTTTTTACTGTCAGGCATTTACTTGAAGAATTTACCTCCGATAGAAATATACGCATTTGCAGTAGATGTAAGCAATGGAAAGGTCACAGAACGTTCCTTGCCAAATAAATCAAATCGGAGAACAGGTGACAAAGATAGTTGGATATCGAGAAATCCTGTCCACTCTTCTACAAACATTGATGTTAATATCTACAAATTTAAACAGTCATCTAAATAAAATAAATATACATAAACAACAACAATAAAACAAAAACAATAACAACATCATCAACAACAACAACAACAACAACAACAATTCACAAACAAATGAAGATCCGTTTATGTTAACATCCAAAAATTGAAAAAAACACACTACAATGGAAACAGATATTACCACAGGCACAGTATCGGACCTGAGAATAAAATATGTTCAGATTGAAAAAAAACCCTCTGTGTTTATCTGAATTGTGTCAAAAACAAACAAAACATGTGAACTATGAGTCGCCTTAAAATGTACTATAAGTTAAGAGCCTACGAGCGAGGGGTTAATTTCCCGGGACGTTGATAAATGTATTAAGGGGGCATACGAGGGTTGTTCGGAAAGTTTTGAGACTGGGTCAATATTTAGCGTTGGAAAAGATAAAATCAAACAAGAGTTTACTATGTATTACTTTAATACCTCATCTATTATAGTGTAAAATTTCATAACAATAGCTTCATGTATACAAAAGCTACAAAGCGTTAGGCACAGACACTACCGGTGACCCGGCGCACGCAACGACGTTATCCGACGTTGCCGTTACTTCCAGAGTTTAACGTCACCGTAGAAAAGTCAACTGCTACTCCTTTTCAAAGTATCTTCCTTCACAACGTACACATTTCTCATGCCTCGTAACCCACTTGGCGAATACATTTATATACCAGTCAGATTTAAATGTTGCAATAATGCTCATAACTCTAGAGCGCAGTTCAACTATGTCCTCAAACCGGATTCCTCGTAGTTCGGATTTGATGGCTGGAAAAACGGAAAAGTCCATTGGGGCCAGGTCGGGTGAGTAGGGTGGGTGAGCGATGCGGTTAAACCCGAGAACATCAAGTTCCAGAGAAGTGGCAGATGCTTCCAAACTGAAGACTGCGACTTTGTTTCTGAGTCGTAGTAGTAAAACCAGGACTCGTCGGTGGTAATAATTCTGTCTAAGAACGCGTCGCCTTCTCTCTGGTATGAACGTAGAAACTGTCGAGATGCTTTTACTCGGTTTTCTTCCTGATCAGCCGTCAATAATCTCGGTACCCAACGGGCCGAAACCCGAGACATTGCAAGTGTCTCAGTTAACGTTTTGTGAGCAGTTGCCGTACCTACATCACAAACTTCTGCAACTTCTCTTACTGTTATGCGACGGTCGCACTGAAGCGCGTTTCTTGCAAGTGTCAGTTTATCGTCGATGACGGATGGGCGACCGCTCCTTTCCTTGTCTTTTGTTGACTTTCTTCCAAACTCTTTATGCCATCTAAATACCAATGGTCGTCTAACAGTACGTCCGTTGTTTGCCTGTTCAAGAAGTTGCTTAGTTTTTGTTGGCGTCTTCCCAAGATTAACGCAAAACTTAATTAAAACACGCTGTTCCTCTTTTGACGGTGTTTCCATAGTCGTTGTCTTGTCGCGCACGTATTGCTATAATGATCTGCGGTAACGGCTTAAACAACTAGCGGAAATGACGTCCTTAAGTTGGAAGTGACGTTATAAAATTTTCGTGACGTTTGGCGCAATTTTAGGGACTCTTTTTATTCAGTAAGAAAACTTATAACAAGAAAATAGTCCGTGCGCCAGGATGCGTAGACAGGTGTTGCTATGGAAACATTTATATGCCGTATAGTAACGTTACAACGTTTTAAAGACATAACTCGGATAAATAACATATTAAGCTATAATTTGTATTAAATAATATTCGAAGCTGTAATTAGAAACAGAGAAAAATCATATTGTCTCAAAACTTTCCGAACAACCCTCGTATTTCACAATTATTTATTTTTTTCGACACATTTAAGATGAACACAGAGGTGTTTTTTCCAATCTGTTCATATTTTCTGCCCAGGTCCGATATTCGTGCCTGTGGATTTAACAGGGAGATCGAAACGTCAAAACGTATTACTTCGTATTTGACTTTTGTTTTATTATTTTATGTGTCCACATCTAATCATTGTGTATGTCCACATCTTCTGAGACAAGTATAGCATCGTCAAATTTGTTTAATGTATTTATGAAGATATTCCGGTGGTATGGGAACCGCATCTGATGAAAAGCATGTCCCTGAAAAGTGCTTACGGTGGCTGAGCACACAACTTTGCGCTTGGACAACTTATAGTCCAATACTATACAATAGTCATATGATTGATCACTCGTTTTATTATTTATTATTTTTTGTGCAAAAAATAAATTACCTGAATAAACAATTATAATTATTCATTATACCCTTTTGAATAGGAAACACCATTACGTCAATGTTTGGCACTTAATCGGTAAAATGTTATGCAACCTTTACAACGGAGCTTACCAACACGCCGGCTAGATTAGTTGCGATGGTTCCTTTGAATTCTGTATTTATTGCATTTTCCCTTACAGTTTATTCGGAATTGTTAAACACACAACGCTACTTAATGTTTTGCTTTATTTTTTTTTTGCTTTGGTTTCATATACATGTACAACATTTGCATATTATATAAAATAGCATTTTCTAATGTATTTTATGCTGATGAAATATTATTGAATATATAAATATATAGTTGGATGTCATGAATTACTGTCTTTCATTTTACACAATAACTTACGTTACCTATTTATTACGGGTCTGGTGGTTAAAGTCGTTGACTTGTAACCAATTGCCCCACTACACAGATAAGGACTTTCGATTCTTTCATGTGAGAAGAAAAGCCAAGAATCTGACGGACGGTGGGTGGCTCAATGCACGAGAGTGTACCTGAGGTTTTCCTCCAGTAAAGTCGGAGGATCGCCATATGACAAACTCTATGTCGTAACTCCGAAAGAAAATAATCCCGTTTATTATCTACAAGATATATTTTTTTGTTGATATGAATCGATGTACTGTTTGTTTGACATAAACACATCTGTATATAAAGTGTTGTGTAACCATGATATAATTATAGAAAAAGAAGTACGATTCAATGATTGGTATGTCACTAATCCATTAAACATTATTAAAAATGACAAAACATATTAAAAGCTTTGATAAACAGAGTAACCAGGTTTGGGTCGCATTAAAATCTAAATAAAATGAAAACCTGAAAAGAACACTCACTGTTTGAACGCTTGGAACACCAAAATAAATATCAGCGTTTCCTTCAACTGTGAAATGTGTGTCATATTTGCTTATACCACCACCTATCCAGACATTCACATTTGGCCGAAATCTTCATAATAAAAACATTAAAACAGTTTAAACGCAAATGTTGGAAATAAGTGCAAGAAAAAAAAAACAAATGACTAAATATACATTCACAATTAAGTCGATAAAAGGCTTACACAGAAAATATGCCTAAATATGAATTTTTGCTACCAATATATCAGCAAACAAGATGTGTTTGATATGTCCTTGATAATATAATCTGTATAAGATTTCAAAAGGTCCTTAAATGTGCCAAGAAGTTAAAAACAAAATGATTAAAATGTGAAAAATATTGACTACATAGAACCATTAGAATCCTGACCTTTGAACAACGGATATTACTCTTCCACCTTAAATGCTGCATGCTGGTAAATATTTGTGAAAAAAAGAATAGTAAGCAATGAATAAACGACAAAATAAGATCCGTACATGATTTTGAACGTACTACAGGACGGCCAATGCAATTACTTTATGCCTGAACTAGACAAATTAGATTTTATATCCACTACCTATTTAGATAGGTGGAACCTCTTTATGGTCTTTTACATTTGGTCTTCAAATTATACTAAACTACAAACAATCAAAATGGGACTTCTCTTTTAACTAAAATAAAGGCATGGCGTCAGACGTACGGTGTAAACATTGTGTCTCCATTCCAGAGTTGTCCAGATAGTGTGTGGGAATTTGTATTTATCCCTTTCAATAGTGAAATTCCGATTCCTCTTGGATGAATGTGCAAGTTTTGTTTATTCTTTAGCGCTTGGAACATACTAATGTTTAATAACATATCTCGGGAACCATCTGGTATCATCAAAAACACTGTCCCGCCGTAATGGTGGCAAAGGTCGACAATCAAGCAAAATCGTCTCGAACTTAATGGTTTTGGTATGTCTATTTCATCCCCGAATATATTGAGCTTGAATCCTGTACTAAACGTAAATACCGTGTATAAATGATTTGGTATAACTGGTGCACCGTCGCACCACGAAACATCATCCATGTCTCTCCCATAAACAAGAGTACTTTTTGTATCTTGAATAGACAAAACTTCATTTCTTGATTTTCCAAATCTTAGCCAAGAAGGAATTGCAGGAAAGAGCGAGAACAAAAAAGTTTTCATAAAAGAGTCCATACTTATGAAATCGAATATATCACTTTCAACAAGTTCGAACGCTGCACAATCATCGTCTGTTTTTCCACTTTCCATTATTGCTCCTTCAGTCAATTCGTGAAGCGACCCATAATTTAACGTAAACTCGTCATTTCTTACAATCATCTCAATTCCCTTTAGTGATATTGGCACAGAGAAATTGTTAACGTTAGCAAAGACAACACCATGTGTAAACATTAAGTCTTGATCTACATGTAGTTTATACCAGTGCGCTGTAGAGCTTAAATATATTGTAATGTCATTTCCATCTACGCATTGGGCAAGCGTTACAGTGAAACACGCTTTCGGCAGGAGCTGTTGAGGAATTTCGAGTCGTTCAAACACAGTCTGCTTTTCTTCTTCACCTAAAGTAAAACATCAAACGCTAGCTAGTTACTAGGTTCAAGTATATAACCAGCATATCGAATATCCATTAGTCTTAATAAGTTCCTATATTTATGAATGTGATATAAGTTTTACTTATTTTCCAGTTTTCCCTTACTTTGTTAAAAACAATTAACTATAAATATTTTCCCATTCTCCAGCTTATTTAACAAGGTCATCATCACCATGTTCGTAACATTAGACGATAGATTAGTTCTAAATGGACGTTTATCATCGTGTTCTTAGTACCCTTTGTCTAACATGTCTAATAGTGATTATGCTAAAATTTTAACAATGAAGATCAAGCTGCATTATTGTAAAGCAGGTCATATTTTGAGCAACACTTATGATCTATCTACTTACCTCCAAAACATGAGAAACCATCTTCGCTTAGCTCTCGATTCCCTGAACAACTGCAGTTAAACGAACCTTCTGAGTTTGTACATACATCTTGACAACCCCCATTTGCAAATTCGCACTCATTAATATCTTAAAGTAAATCAATATAGATGAATACCGACTGCAATTTATTGGATTTGTATTAAGCTTTTAATAAGCTAAGCATGTGCTGCAGATTTAAAAGCCCATTATGCCTAAAATGCTACCCTTTCTTTTTATTTCACAAAAACGTAAGATTTTTGGTTTCTTGGCAAAGTTTCCAAAACACATTTATTTGCCATATAGATTAACTATCTTTGCTTCTTTTGCTATGTTGGCAATTAGTATAATTACAGTTGTAAAATTCGAATATTAAAAAAGAAAACTAGCAGAGGACTTAAAACAAGATTGAACATTGTGTCGTCTCATTGCGGCTATATGCTTCATTAACTGCACGAAAATGAAATATTTCTAGAATATTTGCAATGATTCCAAGTGAAAAGAAAACGTTTACGCTCCAAGAACTGTTGAAAGTAGAGTCGGTCAGCCAGTCGGTCAGTCACTATAAAAAAAAATACTGATAAAATTGTGTTTTAATAGGATTGTACTCACCTGTTTCACAGTGTTTGCCGCTGAAACCTGTTTTACACATACACGTGTAATTATTCAAACCATCAACACATGTACCTTCGTTCATGCATACAACACCTTTACAGTCATCAACATCTGTTATGAAATTGAGATTGCTATTTTTTGTATCAACAACATCATTTTAAGGATATGCCAGAAACAATACTGACAGAACTTCAGCCTTATGAATCATTATATATGATAATGTTCTAATTTAATATCCTTATAGATTTGTTAATTATTAACAACAGTTGCTTAGCCCTTTTCCGTTTCGCCTTTGTGTCCTTTCTTTGTTTAGTCATGTGTCCTGGTGACTTGATGTATAATTTTTAAACGAGAGGTCAGTTACAAATTATTCTTTAAACGAATTCATATTTGCAGATAAATGAAGTTATCTCGACATTAATACTTTGAAGCTGAAATAAATTGATTGTTAGGTTTCAGTAAAAATGTTAAACTTGTATATTTAATTTATTTCAAAGCATATGTGATCCAAGGCAATGGTAATGAATCTTTCCATCAACATTTTCTGGTGGTTATAACACAAATTAAAACCATAGACATGTAGTGAGGTTTTATTACTCTGTATCTCTATCTATAAATAACGCATATAATTTCATCTCTGGATACTTACTTTTACAAGAAATACCATCTGTGTTAAGGCTGAAACCACTTTTACAACTACACTTATAGGACCCATCTGTGTTGTCGCAAATTTGAGAGCATAATGCGCTTGATTCCGTGCATTCATCTATATCTATATGAACAAAAAATACATTTGTATCTTCATTTCACAATACACACCTACAACATAGCACATACATATGTTTAATAAGCAGTATATATACTGAAATGCATGTATTCATTAACTTAATAAAGCTTTCAGAAACAAAATTTAAAGCTGCATAGAATTATGGTTAATAAGCATCTACATCAGTTAAAAAGTTTAAATTATTTGTAAAAAGTAAAAATATCATAAAGGAAGATGTATATTATTTGTTATAAACATTTATGACCGCTTCGCTGGTCTTATATAAAAGATTACTTGCATATATAGCCCATGTCCATGAAAAAGCCGATTTTACAGTTCATATCAAAGCAAGACCATGACGAATTCACAATGCAGCAATCTTACGTTATTTGAATAAAAAAGTAGAGATTTCTTTATAAACTGACAGCATCCGTGTATTTGGTATAAAAAAACAAAACAAAAAAAAACCGTTATGATTAACCAATGGAAATCGACGGAACAAATATGCAGTATTATACATACTTTTTTTCATCAAGAAATCTAAAAACTTACCTTCCCACATTTACAAGTTTATCAATTACCTTCACACACTTCGCTATCTGTACTTGAAAACACAGCTTTGTATCCGTTTCGACATTCACACCTGTGTGAACCTGCCTCATTGATACATGTTTGAGCACATCCGCCGTTTCCAGTGTCACACTCATTCACATCTTGATTATATAAACAAAGCTTTAGAACCACCTTTCATGTATCTTAAGATTGTAAAAACGAATTTTCTGCGGTCTAGCTTAGTGCAGTGGATAAGGTTTTTAGTATCTTACTGCTACAATTCGATTCCCGCAAGAGAGTCTCTAAGGAAATTACACAGCCAGGCAAACAGAAACATAGACGAAATGACATGCGAAAATGAAGAACAAGATAATACCCTCTCTTCATTAGTAAAGACCTTAATTTCATTTAGTATTACAGTTTCATTTTCACATAGTGATTAGAGATATTCCAAAGCTATAAACTCAGATAAATGCATAAACAATAGATATAAAGAAGACGGATACAACCTTTGCAGGAATAGCCGGTACTGTCAGTGATATAACCAGAGTCGCAGTAACATGTGTAAGACCCAGGGATGTTGTTGCAGTAACCATCACATTTGGCTGTTCCTTCAACACACTCGTCGACATCTAGTCATAAATTAAAAAAAATATAATTGATGATTGATCATTGTCATGATTTGAATCTTTTTCTGAAATGTAGAGCTTTACTTTTTTTACTTTTGAAACTAAAGCATATGCCATCAAAATGGTTATTACAAATCTAGCGTATAGATTATATAAATAGAAAGCAAACTGTTTGAAGTGTTATTATTTAAAAAAATGTTTTAAACGAAAATTTTGATATTTGTTCTGTTATTATCATTTTGATCGAACAAGACGTTACCTCATAACTGCTAGATTTTAAGTACGAAACCAATGCATTATTGTATGCCTTTTTATTGTAGAATTAGTATACCTTCACATGAACGTCTGTCAACACCTAAAGTAAATCCAGCATTACAGGAACAAGTAAAGGAGCCTTCGGTGTTTGCACATTTCTGAGTGCAGGCAGCTGTTCCAAGCCTGCATTCATCCACATCTTAAAAAAATTAAAAGCAACAGTTACCTTCTACAATTTATAAACAAATCATAAAAGCCATGCATGATTGATACAACGGCTGACTGTTGGAAAAAATATTGTAGAAAATCAAAGGAACTTTTCGCATTAACGGCAGATATTCTTTGAAAGGGTTTACGCAAGTTAATTGAAGAATACAAAAATGTTGGTGTTTTGTAAAGAGTCATCATTTAGGCAAAAACCCCATCTTTCTACGATATATATTGCAATGATTTTACTTAAACTAACGAGTTTATCTTGCTGCCAATTTCGACTGGGAATATTAAAACAAAGTCTCCTGATATTTGTTCTATCTTTGTTCCATGCAGTTTTGTATGAAACACTATGAAAGCGAGTTTTGTCTTGTAAAATTCTATTCTTTTGAATAAAATCTTTCAACGGTTAACTACCGTGGTATGTCTATTGACGTTAGCATTTATTTCTACGTAGTGCTATGTTTTTTGTCGTATGCAGATTGCAAATATTCGTGAAAATCAAACACGTAATGTATTGTTTTCATCTGCAACAGCTCGGTGTTGTAAATTTGTATATAACTTAAAATGTAAATGTTGATAAGGACTATCAAACGCCCATGAATGGAGTTGAGTTATATTTACACTGCCTTGAAGAACCATTGCTACGTGTAATCCTATCTAGCATTATTTTCTGTCTCAGTGGATTATGTTTTTCATTTGCATATCATTTATCAATTTGCAAATATTTTCATTATCGTTGTGATAACTGAAAAACCTACCATAGCATGACCGTCCATCTGTGCTTAGTTTATATCCTTCCCTACAGTTACAAAAGAAGGACCCAATATTGTTGTTGCAAACGTGACTGCATCTACCATTGTTGACATTGCATTCGTTAAGGTCTGGTAATAAAATAACTTATGTTCTTTCTTGATATAACACAAGTATAGATTTAAAGCATCTAAATGAAATGTATATATCATTTTAACACCAAAAATGAAACAAATAAAATCAGCTGACACATACCGGTAATCAGGATTGCTAAATTAGCTAATGAACAATATATCACCAATATGCTAAAAATGAAAATATTTAATTGGCAACAGTAACAGAACACAATTCAAAGAATGGATCTGTTTGGTCGTTAAGACATGATTTTTATTAAACGTCTTACAATTTTTACCTCAAACAATATTTATATAACGGTTAATTTAATTGTTTTTTTTTCAAGAATTGTAGTGTCATGGAAAAAAGAAAAGCGAACCAAAGATACAGCAATGTGTTGTTTTATTTTATTGTATCAAATCACAGTTATGCTGGTTATTCAAGGAATTCTTTCAAATTTTCCTTTTTTGTTGCAATGTTTTTTTTTTTATTTCCCAAACCCTGATATTTTGTTTGTATTTCTCATTAGTGAAGTTGTTCAGTTTCATTGACTTTACAGATATACCCGTTTAATATTTAAAATACCTATACACGACTTGAGATCCGAGAGAAGAGTAAAGCCTGATCTGCATGTACAATAGAAAGAACCATAGGTATTTACACAATTATGTTGGCATCCGCCTATGTTGCTGCTACACTCGTTGATTTCTTAATGAAAGAAAATAAATAGAACATAATCTAAATTTTTTTGTCTTAAAATAAGTAATAATCATGCATGAATCTAATGGTTATGTATTTCATATGTCACAAAAAACATTATCGCCAATGTATTTCAGTGATAAAAATAAAGGACTGCAGAAGAAATTGTCATTGTTATGAAATGTTATGATGCTTTCACTAACCGTATTGACTTATTCAAACTAACTTGGTTATTTGCTTTTGAATGGTTTATCCCCTATTCTCTAAATATCATAATGTTCAAGGATTTTTCATTGAATTTCTTATTGGAGAAAGAAATAGTTAAGTTTGTATATGAGCATTTTGTTGTAGTGTAAACCACAAAAAATTAAAGCTAAAAAAAGCTACGTGACTTTTAATGTACTAACATATCTTTAAAAACTTCATTTTAGACCACAGTTGAGTAAGAAACGGATTTAGTTCTTTCTCATACAATCAGTAAATATTACCCTTTATGTGATACATAAAATATATTTAAAAACCATCTTGAACAAATTTAAACAAATTGAATACATACCACTACATCTGGGTGACGAAAAGCCCCTTGGACAGCTACACATGTTCGGAGATTTGCACGTGCCGCCATTTTGACATGAATTCGACCCAAAACATAGAGCTGTAGAATTGAGAAAATAAGTTGATATTTATAAATTTATGTTAAATCATTTATATATCATTTAAAATATTGAATAGTAAAATCGGCCCTCATTCAGCAAGAAAATTTGTTACAAAAAAGCCAAAGTCAACACAAAATATGCCTATATTTTGTGTTTACACTAGCGGCTTTGATAAAGCTGTGAAGGTAGGAGAACCTAGAAATTTTGATTTTTTACTGTGAATATACATGTCAAACATTAAATTAAAAAATATTGTAAAGCAACCGAAATGTTGGATAAGTTTAAAAAGATTTTTTTTTACAACTTACGTGTGTTACAATCGCTTCCAGAATAGCCAGGACAACACTCTCTTTTATAGCATACACTCGAACAATGTCTGTAAACCGTTCTGAATGACGTTTAGCAAAAGTAAGTGCTATATATAGCTGATTATTTAGTTGTAAGAAGTTTATGTAAATTTCTTAATGTATACAAAAATAAACACAACAAATTTTGTTTTTATAAACATAGAAAATTGATATAAAATTTTTTTGACATATGAAAGTAAGTTTTTAACTGAACTATTGCACAAATGGATAACAGAAGTCTTCCTCCACCCATAGTGCTGGAAAGTCGCTGTATGACCTATACCGTCAGCCCAAAAATAAATAGTTGGTGTCTTTATCCTTTTATCACATGGTTTATAAACTAATACCAAATTTATTATAAAAGAATAAAACTTTTTTTCCATTCTTTGTAACCTAATGTAATGATTTTTAAGCTTTCGACAATATTGGACAAATACGAGACAGTCATTACATTTGTGCTAAGTTTTAATTGTTGCATTATGTAACAAAACTTACTTTGTCTTCTTGCAGTGCCATTTTCAAAATAAAATAAAAATAAACAATCTATATAATGCTAAAAGAACATTTTTTAAACTGAAAAAATGATTTTTATATTTATTTAAACAAATAAATAGATAACGAACATTTTAATGAGTCAGTTAGAATAAAGAATTGGTTTTTGCTTATTTATTGGAAATAACAAAGGAACAAAAATAATAGTATTTAAAGTTACTTAGACGTTGGGCATCTTAACCACCCGAACCATCCGCATTCTTTGCCATACGTCTTTTTAGTACTGCATTCGCCTTGGCACGAGTATGTTGACGTACAAAAGCCAGCAAATATACCTCTACAAAATCGAGAGTACATTATATGTGTGATTAATGGTAAAAAAACACACCCCAAAAAGTCTATGTGAAAATGTTTTCATTGATAGCTGCCGGTTTTGTTTTTTCATGATAGGTTTTGAATAATGGAGCCAATTAATGTATGTGCTTAAACATGAAAACTATCTTAAATTGTTATATCATATAAATGTTTGAATGTAACCAGTGTATGTTTAGTTTTTATACTTCTTTCTATTAAAATGCATAAAAATTTATAACATGGCATTTTGGACTTTGCCATGTTTTTATCTGCTTAGGTTTGTGATGTTATTTTGCCATGACAAAATATTTCTTTTAAAAAAAAAAGACATAAAACGTATTGAATTTTATCTTTACAAATCCAGTTTTTACTGAAAACACCTTGTTCTTATATTGCCTGACCATGTTGAAATGCATATCTAAAATATAGTATTTGTACTTGCGTTTATTTGTAAACCTTGCGTGCGTGCACCAGGCAACGTTGACCAACTTCCTTTGTTATCTTGTGAACATTTTCACGGATTTCTTAAGGATGTTAAAGATACTGAGTGTTTTTTACGAACATTAAAACTTTTTAATTGTGTGTCTCCAATATTCAAAATTACATAATTAGCTGTGACCCCATTGGATTTTGGCGTGCTTTTAATACCGCTGGAGAGTAGAATTTTATTTCCGTTTTACAGAAGCAAAGTATTGTATAAATCTCAATTAAAATAATTTTTGTAAAAAATATATATTTCACAAGCATGTGCACCATCAAGATCGATCTATCGGATATCAAAACGATAAAAACTACATGAAAGTATTCAGACTATTCTCACACTCTTACCAATTTCCCCCCCTATTTTGGGAGGGAATAGCCTGCAAATGTGCACACTGTTCCTTCCATTCTATTCCTTTAAATACATAATTATTGGTACTTAAAAGTACTTTATTGATAGTATTATTATTTAAAACAAGTCAATTTAAAAGTGACTACTGTTACATTGCAATTCTGTTGATAGATAGTAATAGCGTTTCTTTTTACTATAAGAATCTAAAGTACACAGGTTCATATATTTATTCAAGCGCAAGTGAAAATGAAATCTACTCTTAGTATCCATAATGCATTGGCATATGCCGATAAATCAACGCTTGTGCATGCTAGTGTGTGTCTGCGTGCGCGTGTGTGTGTTTGTGTGTGTGCATACACGTGAGTCTCGATATTAGAAATAACTGTCATATTTAGGAAATACTTTCATATTTTCGAGCGCAGATAAGTCAACACCTCTTCTTGTCAAATATTGACAAAACGGGGTACATGTGTTCAACCGGCAGTTATTCGCCTAACTTTCAAGAAATTCTGGCATTTTTGTCAAGGAAAAGTTTCACTTTATGAATGATTTTTTCAGTAACTTTGCGGCGTATTCTACCAGACTTTCAAGCCAGATTTCTGAATTAATGCATTCACATCAAAACAGCCGCTTAAGACACTTATTTGTTGACATAAATATTCCAAATATTGTTATAAACTTTAATGGCAGATTTTCCTAGTTATGTCAGCACTTATCTCCCCCACAAAATAGCATTAAAAATATTTCAGAAAATTAAAAGGAAAGTTAATCCTGTTTTTCCTTGTTGAATTAACGATTAGGAGAAATAATTATATCGCACAAATATTGCATAATATTGACATAAATGAACCATTTGTGTTTTTACATTTTGTAAATATCATTGTTAATAATGTCAGGTGTTTGATAAACTATATTTGAAAAAAGCAACAGAAAAACATTAATTTACATTAAGAAAATCAAAGGAAAAGAAAAATTGTCATTAAAATATTATCATCAAACATTCACTTGGAAAATGTTTTGTTGGAAAATAATGCGTTCAAAGGCTAATAATTAAGAGTGAATCACCGAGATTAATTTAGAAGAAATCTACAAAACACCGATTGTGATATTTCAACTTCTTGAATCGTAGCAACTTCACTAGTTTACGACAAAAACAAACACATGAAATAACAAAAGACATGAAATAACAATTTCATCTTCATGAATGTAAGATTTCAACTGCATGAATTCACAATTTCAACTTCACTGGAATTCATAAAATGAAATGTCCCCCGTCTGTGTTCCTTTACTTATATGAGAAATACACATAAAAGCAACACAGTTACAATACAAACAAGAAAGCATTGATGCTAAGCGTCAAAGGGCGTCCAAGTAAGACATGCATCAAGTAACGATAAACTAATAAACATCTGATGGCCTGATATCTTCTTATAAACTTTTCAATGGTTAATTGGATTTCATAGGAATAATATATTATCCTTTTTCAAAGATGAATGGACGGACGAAATACATGGGTCATCATGACCGTTGGTAGGCTTGCTAGAGAATAGAATATGAAAATGTACAAAGTCAGTTTTATTTTTATTTCTATTATAATGTTACTCATATACAAAGTTAACAGTATATAAAAATATCAACAAAGGAACTAATGTAGTAATTACATGCAATTTTTTTCACGTCAATTAAAAAAAGGTTTCTATCGATACCTGGGACTTAAGATACAGTAGTTATATTTTTAAGTCCAAGCTAAATACTGAAAGTAGAGCACGCACTGGAATGAACAAATTGGGATGAATTTTCAGAATTTTTTGTTGTTGGTCGTGATAACAAAATAATGGTTCATTAAAAGTCATGAATAAATTTGCATTGCATGTTGAAATGGTGAAACATTATTTAGCAATCCAATGGAAGACTGCTACCTGAATTTTAGACAGTAATGAGGAAATCTAATAACACCATGTAACCAGCATATAACCGAATTGCTCCGACTATTGCCGATTGGTTCCCATTTTCGAAGCGCAGCGTATTTGCATACGGCAAAGCTGGGGAGCCAGTTTGAATTTGTCGAAAGATTTTGTGAATGGACTAAAACGGCGATAACATTGATGTTGAATTTGCCTGTTGCGTTGTTTATATTGATGTTGAAGTTTAAAATAGACCATCATCATGAAGAATAATTTCTTCTGTGTCATGGGAAAATATTGGAAATGGAATAAAATACATGCATGGTAATTTTAACGGTAGATGTGCGGTTTTTTCTGGCAAAAATTTTATCATGTGTATTATTGTAGACGTTGAAACATGATTTATTTTTCAAAACGGCTTATATTAAGCTTTTATATATAATCAGTACATAAGCTGGGATTGACAAGTATACATTTTCTTTGGATTTTAAAGGCGTTTTGAGCTCCACTTCCAAAGTGTCTGTGTTACACTATAGGCGCGTCAATGAAAAATGTACCTTGACACTCCAAGTAGTCTTTATCTTGGGTATGTGATAAATAAAATATTTTAAGCGTGTTGGTTCACTATTGAAATTCTTGAACTCATTGAATAGATGAAGATGAAGTCTCGTTTCATAACAACATTAAAAACTCTATGCGGAATGTAAAAACAGGTATTATTTCCAAATATTTCATAAGGTATGCTATATTAACCACTAGCTTTATCATGTTTAGCTTTCTTAATAGCTTTTTCTATCTCAAAAATAGAAATATTTTCATTAAAAATTCCAGAACATGTGTTTCACCATGAAACATATTATCATCTCCATTAACACAGTTTTATTTACAGTTTAAACCCTGATCATCATTGTGCACATTTTTAAAACTTCTGCCTCATCTTAACAAGACATTGTCTGGGTTCGAAACAATAGAACCATCATCATCAACAATTTCCATAGGAATAGACTTAGTCTTACTTGAGTTAAAAAATATTTTCCCAATATCTTTCGAAACTTTATTTTGATCAAGTTCAGAAATAGATAACAACTCTTCCTGTACCGTTACCAGTATTTCTTTTTACATCACAACTTTACTAAAGTTTTTTTTTCTATATGTGTTGTGTTGTAACATAAATTGTTTTTTTTCTATATAGACAAGAAAATCTTAACCATTTATCCTAGCCACACATGCCGTGTTCCATTAATCAGTTAATTCGTCACACCACCAAGGTTTTCCACATTTGTGTTTACGGTTCCAGATACTATTACTGTCAGCAAACATTTTGTGAGGAATATTTTCTATCATTTCAGATTTAATTATGTTACATATTAAACAATATTTTTCCACATGAACAAGAAAAAATAAAATAAAAAGAAATTATGAATGGACAATTGCTTTACTTTTTTAATTCCCTGCAAAATATGTTGTTTCTTCAAGATGCTCCTGTGTGTTGGATTATAAAAGTCTATAATAAAAGAAAGGAAACCATTTGACAGACTTCTTTTTGGAAAACAATATGTTTAATTCAAGTATGTTTGGTTGAAACATGATAAACAAGATCAACAAGGAAAGGCGGGGTTCAATGAACGCAACCCCCATGTTGCGATTATCACGGCGCCATTGTCGCGTAATTATTATAAAAAAATTCCGATATCTTGTTTAACATCAAAAAATTTTTAAAGTTTGAATAAACTTTTTAGATGATGATACATAAAGAGGCAAACATAACTTCGGAGTAGATAGTATTATAATATACATAATTCAAATATAATATCGACCGCACAATTATCAAGGTACTACCGTTATTACTTCAGCGCGATATAATCGCACACTATTCTTCTACTACAAATTATATATTTCAGTAATACAAATAGCTCTATCTGATTGCAATTTTATTAATAACCGTTATTTAATGGTTTAACTTTAACTTAAGTTAATTATATTTTAAGGATAAATGACACATCAATGGTTGTCTATTACATACATGCCAAAAATAATAAACACGCAAAGTCTTGAACCCTAAGTGGAAAAAAATTTAATAATGAAATCAATTAACAAATTAAAAAGTCGAAATTTATAAGGCTTTTTAAAAATTGTTTATCAGAACATAATTATGTTCATTCATTTTAACGAAGGTTGTCATATTAAAAATCGCTGCAATACATGCTTTTCAAAACACTCTTATCTTTTAGAAAATCAAAGAATTTC